TCGTAAAATACAGCTGATAATTCTCCCTTAAAAAGTGCTAGTCTCGCGTTGGTATTTTGTCTCAGTCTCCCTGCTGAAGGGCTGAGACCCAACTCCCCATCAAAAAACGCAAGACAAGACATTTCCAGTCCCTTGAACGGAATCCATGTATATCTGATAGCTGAATAGAATCTCCTACGGAGTACTATGATACAAGTGTCAAAATCTTAATAACTGCACGCACGGCTATCCTAACGAACCTGAACCCAGCCAACCGACCTGTCAACTAAAAGATACGGTAAGTTTTCATCTCGCATCTCCAGACTCCACCACCAGAATCCCCCGTTCGTTAAAGGTTAAGCGTTAAGCTCAATCGTGGAGAGATAGCGAGCGAGAGGACCATTGCCGTGGATATAATGTTTCAATCCATGTCTTGCATTTAAAAATCTAATATTCCATTCTCCATAACAGAAAAAAGACACTCCGCTTGTTTACGCAAAACAACAATTTGGATCAACACTTTTTCCTCATTGCGATTCACACCGATGAAACCTGCCAAGCCCGTCAGCGCTAGGCCGTTATCCGCCCTCTTAGCTTGGCAGCCATGTCCTCCAACCATCGTATCGTTGGACTTTTCGAACAAAAAGACTCGTATAAATAGACAATCATTCCACTGAAGCTTCGAACTGTAACCTTGCTGCTCATCTCGAGCTACTGCGCCGCAAAGGCGGTGATAGTGTTGCTCATTACCGGCCTTTCCGTCAGCCACAAGTCGCCTCTGCCGGGCACCATCTAAACACAACTGTTTTGCAGAATGACCTCATTCATTAATCTATTCGCTACTGCTATGACGAATGACTTGTCGAATTACAGAGTACCCAGCCCAGTTATATGTCGGAATATCTTCTTCAACAGTGTCGATCATCAACCGTCAGATTTCCATCCCGCTTAACAAAAGATCCAGAATTTAATTATTCTCCCTCTTTCGTCACATGCAATTTAAGCCTCTCATCGCCTTGCAGGGGAAAAGTGGTCTTCCCGGAAACTCTCAACCTGTCTAACCAGGGGTTGTTTCCGATTTATTGGTCCATCTCCCCGTAAACCCGTCCGGCCTGTAGCTTTTTTTGCGTCTAGACTCCAGAGAACAGTAATTAATAAAATCCTGTAAGCTGACAATAACCGTCGAAAGTTACCCCCTGAATCGTTCGAGGTTTGGGTGGCATCCCGCTTATCGTTGAGGCGATCAGATAAATATTACATGGATAAAGTTATACTCTCGCCTATTACGCACCTCTTCTCCATGTTACGTGTTGCAAATTACTTGTCAAAAGAGGCGAATCTCGAAACACGTAATGCATATATCAGAGCTTCTATAAACCCACATCTACAGATAAACCATCGCTCAAACGCCTTGTGTATCCAACCCACTCTACTGACCCTGTGCAGAAATGCGTTTACACCAGTCCCGTCCATGCGCTACCTGGTAATTGCACAACTTGGTCTCCATCACGATGCTCAAAAGTCCAGCGATGGAGATTCCTCCACTATCACTCACAGTCGTCGCACCCAAACTGAATTCTCTGTCTTCAGCTGGCACGTTCTCCATGATTTCTGCGAAGCAGTTGACGTATACACCACCTCCTAGCAGACCTTCCCAGAACACAATGATGAAAACGACGTAGACCGAGGGTAGGAAGAAGTACATGGCATGTAAGGTGAGAAGGACGAGGTTCGCAATCTGGAGCATCGACGGGAGATAAAGATGGTGAATGCGGATCCAAGGGGTAGACGATCGTGAGATAAAGACACCCAGTTGGTACAGAAATCCGTAGAAGGGGTAAAATGCCCGGAACTCGTCAAATGGCGACTCCTCAAGAGGAAACAACAGCGTAGGCGCAACACCCTGGTTGATCGTATACTCGGCCACGTACACCAGAAGCAACGGCATCATATACGGGACAAACAACTTCTTCACCTTGTTCAGCCTGTCTTTCACCGTGAGCGAATCCTGATTGTTACGGGCAGAGTACGCAGTCGACGTAACGGATGGACCAGGAGCCAACAGCGCCGACGAAGCAGTCCCTTGATCCATATGATCCACGTCCTCATCCTCCAAATCCGGAATCGCATCGTAATCTTTCCTTGTACCCTCCATCAAAGGGCCAAGAGGCAATATCACAAAGAAACTGAGAAACATGATGGCAGGAAAGCACGCAGATATGAGCAGACTGCTACGCACACTTAATCCCCACCAATCGGTAAACATCACGTATAATCCGGCACCAACCAAACCCGCGGCGCCAGTTCCAGATCCCCAGCCTGCGAGGCTTATTGGGCCGTAGAAATGCGTCAAGCCGAGGAAGCTGAGTTCACCGCCACCGGCGCTTATACTCGCGAGAACTACACCGACAAGCTTGATCGCGACGGACTGAGTTCGCGGTGTCAAAGCAACCATGAGCATACCAGCCGCGGATAGTGCTATGAATATGAGGATTCGCGTGCGATAGGGAATGCGATGGATAAAGTACGGTGCGATCAACTTGGTAAGGAACGAAGGGACAACATCGGCGAGAAGGACGACGCCTTTGGGTAGCGAACCGACAAGATCTTGAGCGGCGGAGAGGATAATCACGTAGAGGACATTATTGATGAGACCTAAAAGCTGTCAGCCAAGAAGTATCGAAAATAGCATCAAATCATACCAAAGAGCCAAAAGGCTAAAACGACCTTCGTGTCATGATGTCCCAGCAAAGCCGCAACTCTCGCCTTGTACGCGCCCCATGACGATGAAGGCGCGCCAGGCATAGGAAGTAAGCCAGAAGAAGAAGGCGAGAAGCCAGACATTTCAACAGTCTATCAGCACTTTATCTTTTCTGTTGAGAAAACAAAAGACATTGTGCCTGCTGTTGGTCGCAGAATAGGAGAGTTTATTGTGGCGGTCGCAATATTGCTGATAACAAGTCGTTACAGTTTCACATTTTAGCGGCTGGGTCACGAGATAAGGCCTCATGACGTTGATCATGCCCGCTCAAAGTGACTGTCACTGCGGGCTGCTAGCGGGAGCCATAGTGGATGCAGATGGACTAAACTCTCCGGATTATCTCCATATGATCCACATCTAACCATCACCATCACGATGTAAGAGAAGTTTGTTGGTGGTCATAAATCATGTCGATTTTAAATTACCAAGTAACCGTAAAGTCAACCCGCTAATGAATCCATTCGCTCCATTTCCATTCCGTTTATTCCTTGCATTTAGTCGCCGCGAGCAGTCTCGATAGCGCTCTCGGGAGCAACGTAGCCCTGAGCGGACTTGGGGTCAGGAACACTGTCCTCAGTGTAATCGGCACCCTTGAACTGAGAGCCACCAGGCCCGGGAGGGTTGCGGCCGACGTTTGTGCGCATGGCATCTTGACCCTTGTCGGCAATGTCGTCTGCGGCACCGAGACCGGAGGTTTGCTTGAAGCCAGCAGGGACAACATCGTTGTCGTTGTAGCCACCGCGCTCGTCGTTGGCCTTTGCGAGCTTGTCCATGGGACCACCCTCACCCTCGTACTGCTCACCACGGGCTTGTCTAGTAAATTGTAAGTTACTGTGCATATAAATAGAAGTGAGTTATGCTTACCGGCCCTTGTCATCGGTGATACCACCCTCAGAGGGAGGAATGCGCTTGTTGTAGCCAGCGTTTGTGCTCAACTCATCACCGTACTCGACGTGAGCACCCTCGAACTTGTTCTCAGCCATGGTGTTGACACCAGCATCGTCACCACCAACAGGGCGGGCGGCACCAGTCTTGGCCTGGTAGGTGTTGAGATCCTTCTCAGCGTCGAGGGCGATTTGCTCGTAGTTGACCATTTTGAAGGTTTGTGGTTGAAGAAAGGAATTTGTGTTGGTTTGTTGTAGATTGTGAGAGTGAAAGAGATGAATAACGATTCTTCAACACACGGGATGTCTATTATTTGTAGTGATAAAAGATCATTGTGATGTCATTATTATGATTTCATCGATAATCCTCGATGATTTCATCACGACGATTGAAATGTGGAACACTAACAAGCACTGGCCCGCCAGAATACACATTTTGCATATGGTGAGAAGATCTTGGGCATTGATAGAAAGCTCATCGAGTGTGAGTGGCAGTAAATCGAGATCTCACTTACCATGGGAGCACCACATCGTCTTGGCAGCCTGTGCACCAACAGTCCGACGCCTTGGTTGAACCCAGGCAACTGACTCAATCTCCGCAAAAAGAAGCTGTAGATTGACATAATCGGGTAGCAGTGTAAGTCAGGTACCGGTGCGTCGAGTGCTGTCCAAGGCTGGATTTGCCTTCGGAATGTCATCAATCGACATCAACCTCTTTGTCTCCGTATAAGTGGAGTTATAAAACTATTCCCTGCACAAGCTTTTGTTCACACTACACATAGGCTTGTGCAAACAGATTTATGTTGGCTACGTTTTGCTATATCGTTGGACGGTGACTGTTTAGTTGTTCCACAAGAGATAACATCGAGTTTGTCTACTCGAACTAGATACACCTTTGCCCATTTGCCTCCCCCGAACAAACCTAGTAGTCCAGTTTTCCGACGTCCCCTCGTTGAGATACTTTGTTAGGCAACTCATTGCTGAGAAAGTGGCTGACTTGTTCTTGAGTCGTTGCGGGACATCATTGCATTCTGTGATATCGCTTGTCGAGGTTGAGCGACACAAACCGTCCCAGATCCGTTCTTTGCGTTGCTGTTTCAGTGGGATACCTTTCTCAGGCCTCACTACTCTGTCGCCTGATCATGCTGCAAACTGTCCTGAAAGGTACCATCGGAGATTGTAGAAGCGCCTTGTGAATAGCCCGTAGGTGTCGAGTTGCCTCCTAGAGCAAGGCACATATTAGGATAACCGAGAGGTTGGCCTCCGAGCTTTGAAAAGTCAGTAAAATAGCCCAAGAGTCTGATAGAAAGCAACACGAGTTAACTTGCCGATTTCGCGTCTTCTGCTTTCAGAGCCTTCCGATACTCTGAGGCATGCTACCAAGTCATAAACCGAATGATCAGAGGTGGTTTGTCTCCACCATTCTTCGCTCTTTGTTCCTTTGCGATCTGTTCCAACATGGTGACTGCTCTGGGCAAACCACCAAGTTTGCTCAGCTTTAACAGCAGCACGTCCGAGATTTCACGGTAGACCCGATCACCGTGCTGGAATGTGGTGGGCGAAGTTTCCCCCCGGCTTCTTTTGTATCGGTTGAGATGTTGTTTCATCGCCGGCAAGAGACTCAAGACTTCAAATCGCTCTCCTTTGCGGATTTCATTCGGGTGAATGAGGATGTATAGAATTTGAAGGTGGTCGAAAACGCGGAATATCTGGTCCATCATATCTCTGCAACCCTGTGACATGGCCCATTCCCAGCTCTCATCGCTCGACAAGTAAGGGATAGCAGCGTACTTGACCGATATGCTTTTGGAAGGGCGGTTCAAATTGAACAACAATTCACCTCCAACCCATGGATCGGCAATGATAAAGAGGTCACGAGAGGTATAAACCTTCTGTAGCGGCATTGCCATTATCAATTTTGTCTTTGAATGAAAGCCGTGATATGTATAATGACCGGGGTAATCCCATGACTGTGCGGTTGGGTGGCAATAGAGTTCCCACTGCTTGATTATCTTCTCCACGATTAGTCGCGAATGTTGGCAGGTCTGCACCAAGGCTTCGCGGGCAGGGTATACAGGCTTCATGCGGCTACTGCAATCCATTGCAATCAGGCGCTGCATACGAAGCACAGCTGGATGTTGTCTGGGTCTAGGCGTGTTTTCATGATCGATGTCGACGATATGAGCGGCTGGGACATCGTTCTTGAGGGAGAACTTCCAAATCTCATCCTGAATCTCGAGAGGTAGCTTAGGAAAATTGTGAAAACTGGTAGGTTTTTTTGACTGTTTCTTGTGTCGAGGCATGATGGAAGTTCAACTGAAGTGTGTTGGTAGAAGTAGAAGGATGTGATAATAAAACGAGAGGTCATATGAAGAAAGTATGGAGAGGGGGAGGTCTATTTATGTGTTGATAGAGTTTATTGCTCGGGGCCGTAAATGTTAAAGCAGATATTGACACTGCGACAGTGACAGCCAGTGCCAATTATCCCCTTTCCTTCTTCCAAGCAGGTCCCTACGTCAAAGGCTACAGTGACTGAATACAGGAAAACAAAATAGTAGCCTTCCATAAGAAGAAGAAAAAACCGGTATTGATCTTACCGTTCCGATATTTGCGTGATGATATATTGATCAGTTACACAATACGTTTGTTTACCAGTACCATCGGGTACCTGCTGTGATACCTTCCAGCACAGTAGCTTGGCACTGAGCTAGGTAAAAAATCCACAATATTTTACAAAGAGCCCGTTCATCACCCTCATTTAATCCATTGTAGGTGCTAAGATGGAATTATTCTGTTAATAACGAGTGATCAATACATGAAAGTTATAAGTGAAGTCGGAATGTCAAACTCCGACCACCGACCACAACTGGAAAAAACCGGACCCATATTACCAAAGCCAATCCATCCCGGCGCATTACGATCTAAGCGTGGATCCCCGCGACCAATTACGCCATTTTCCTTCAACCATTGAATCTTTTTTACCATTAACTTTTTTTTAATCCCGCTCGCCCTCACAATGGCAGACAAAAACGACGCCTGTCCTGTTGACCACAAGACCCGCGACGCATGGCTGGCCCAAGCCCGTGAAGCCGAAGCCGCAAAGGCAGCAAAATGTCCTGTCGATCACACAGCCCAGCAGCAGCCGAAATCATGGACTCAGACTTTTACTTCGTATCTATGGTCTTCGCCAGCACCTTCGTCTACACCTGCGCATAACCCTACATCCAACAATGGCCTAGACACAGACCGAGTTGTTTCTACAATTCCACGAACCACCGGCGACGCTTCGGCGTGTCCTGTCGATCACGAAAAGGAACCCGCGAGACCAAAGAACCATGAGATGGAAACTGGAATGGACCCCTCAGGAAACTGGGTGTATCCTTCAGAGAAAATGTTCTTTGAGGCGATGAAGCGAAAGGGTTATGATGCGAGGGTAGCTGATATGAAGACTGTTGTGCCGATCCACAATGCTGTCAATGAGAGAGCTTGGAAAGAGATCAAGGAGTGGGAAGCGCCATACCTCGAGGGAACAACGTAAGTTTCGTAAGACTTGTCACTGGTAATTGCTATTGACAATAGCAGATGCGGTGGTCCCAAGCTCGAGTCTTTCGCCAACAAGATGGACCGCATGACTCCCACAGCTCGGATCAAGACCATGATCGGCTACACTGCGCCATTCGATCGTCACGACTGGGTTATCGACCGCTGTGGAACAAGAGTTGACTATGTTATCGACTTTTACGCTGGCCGACCTGATGGTAGAGGTGGACCGAGTTTCTATCTCGATGTGCGGCCAAAGTTGAATACATGGGAGGGTGTCAAGATGCGAGCCAAGCGATGGGCTTATCTAGCATGATGGCCGTTTGGCCGAGCTGTATAAATGATGTATGATATGTGTGTAGTCCTAGAGGTTTGGTTGGCGTTTGGAAAATGTACAATACGGCATAGCATGGTGTCCCTTGAACCACCAAGACACGACTTCCGATCATAAAACAATCTTCAAGGTCGTCTTATCATTAAGTACCGAATTATTCGTCCTTCTTGGTCTCCATGCCTAGACAAAGACGAGTAGGCGCACATGTCTCAAGAGCGTGCGAGTCCAATTTCCACCCCTTCGCAAGTAATTCTACCAAAAGATCCCCTTCCAAAGCTCCTCCCTTCCCAAGGTAAGGTTCATGACCGCTTCCCTTTTCCATCGAGTCCCTGGCCCAGGCGATCTTCACAGCCGTATACCAAGCGTCAATTGCTTGGACAGCAGTAGAATCCTTCCAAAGCATGATCTTGATACTGCCTTCTGACCCAACGAAAAGGGTACTTCCGTCGTTGACGGTAAACACGTCGATTGTGCGGCCGCTGTTCGTTGCCTTTTTATAACTATCGGCCATTTCGATACGTGCGACTTCCTTGCCTTCTCGATTGTGGGCGACGGGCCGCCAGAACAGGATGCTCTCGCGCTTAGCGACCTCTTCGGGTGTCATGATGTTGCCCGTCTTTAGGTATTCTTCGAATAGGATGGTTGCACGCTGTCGGTTGAAGTTGTCCATGCACACACTGCGAACGCCAAGATAGTTCATCCACAAGTGGGCGAGTACGAGGGCAATCATGAGAAACACGACGGTATTGTGATCTTCCACATACTTGACGACGAGTGTCCCAACAGCGAGACCGAATAGACCGACGGCCGTTTCCTGACTGGCCTCTTTGGCATTGAGTTCCGCAAGGTTGTCGTGTTTGGCAAAATGCACACTTAAAGCTGCTTTGCTTGCACCTGCTGCGACACCACACAGGGCTCGAAGGGCCTCTCCGGTGGTGAGTGCGATAATCTTCCCGTAGGAACCAAGGTAGGGGCTGTACAGCTCCATGAAAAAAGCAGTATCGTTGAACAGATCGGCGAGAAAGCGGAAGCGCTTGGCGTCGGGCTCTATACGAAGGCCAAACTGGTGAGCAAAGACAATGGTTGCGATACGGGAAATAGCATCCTTGAGGACGGTGAGTAGCATAGCAAAAGTCGCAGACGAATTAGCGTCTCCGACGCCGAGACCTTGCAGCAACGCTCTGTTGGCAAGAAGAGAGGTAATGGTCGAGAAGAAAGCCTGCATGGAATCGAAAAACTGATAGTTGAAGTAATCGCCCGAAACAGAATGCGGATATCCAACGGGCATGAAAGCATCGTGCATAGAAGGGAGCCAAGAAGTACGGGCCTCGGCCTTCAAGACGACCTTTCAAGGTTAGCAACGATGCGATACGAAAAAAAGGATAAATAACAAACATGATTGTCAGGGCCGTGAGTCCAGGTACGGATATGATTTCCGGATTTGTCATATTCTGCAATTTCAATAGGTTGGCCGCGGCCAAGATTTTCTGCAAGCTCCTTCATGGTTGTGATGATGTTGAAGGAGGATGGTTGAATGGTGGCCAGGCTGTAAAGAAGGTACGGGCAGACAGGGTTTCACAAGGTGACTGTGGCAGTGCCCCGCAGAGGCAAACGTTACACATGGTAAGGCCAGATATTTTGGAGTTTATGATTTTATTCACCGGCGTGAATGAAATTGCCTGCCTTGTAACTAAAGACCAGGCCTATAGACTAATAAATCGTCGTTCTTTGTGGAGACTTTAGTTGAATGGGGTCCGGAGGATAAAAGGTCATCTTGACTTGCTAAGATAACAAAACCCGGGCCTCTAAGCTTTACGATACAAGAATAAATAACCAAAGAGTCTTCTATATAAAACAACATGACTTACCAATTTCGCCTCTTGTTCCTCCAGCGACCAGTTTTCCTGGCATCTGAGGCGCTGATCGGGTCCGGAGGGAACATTTGGGGCCGGACGGTTCGGGCGGCCCCACACAGTGATCATGACATCCATGGCTGGCGTTCAGTTTTCCAACACCCTCACCCAAATTAGACAAAGTCCAGCACAAAAACCACAATGTCATATAAAGCTTGAAGCTGCCGTTTTTATTTTTACTGCTGAGCCGTATGAGCTTCATTATATGTTCTCCAGCATACTGTTTACTATTATATGGGAGTCCCTTTCCATCATTTGCTAGCTTGTCCATCTCTTAAGCAAGGAACTCGTCGGTCTTGACGGGACCCTCTCCAACACCAGTAGAGATAACTCGGCTCACACCCTCCTTCAGAGTGGAAGCAAGGGTCCTCTCGAACTCAATGCTGGCCCTGGCGCTGGCAGCACCCTCCTTGAAACCACCAACACCCTGGAGAGCCTGGTAGAAAGCACCAACAACGGTCTCAGCATCCTTCTCCTCGTAGTAGATGACACAGTTGGGGCCGGCATCAAAAGTGTAGGCAGCGACAGTCCTGCCAACCTTCTCATTGATGTACTCGACAGCACGAATGGCAGCGCGGGAAATGTCGTTCAAGTAGAAGATGGGAGGGTAGGTGTCGGCGCAAGTAGCGTGGAAAGAGTTGGACTCGCGCATGGTGACCTCGGCAAATTTGGGGAAGTCCTTGTTCTTAATGGCCTCCTCCATGAGGGCCATGCTGGCGGGAACAACGTTTGTTATTCTCTCCTTGAAGAGGCCAGAGGTGGCAACTGTCTGTTGCATACCAGAGGTAGAGGAAACACCCTTCTTGGCGGCGCTGGCAACGAGGATCAGAGCTCGCATCTCAGGCCAGTGCGAAGCGGGAGCGACAAGTTCGGCCTTGGAATCGCTGCCATCCTCCTTCTCACCCATTCTCCAAGCAACGTAACCGCCAAAGAGACTTCGGCAGGCAGATCCGGAACCTTGACGGGCGATGAGAGAAAGGTCAGAGGGCGAGTCAGGGAGCTCGTAGAGAAAAGCGATAGCCTGAACCAGCGCAGCGAAACCAGCAGCAGAAGAAGCAAGGCCGGCAGCAGTGGGGAAGTTGTTCTCGGAGACGATCTTTAGGGGGTAGGTAGAAAGCTTGGGAAGCGAAGAGTCGGCTTCCTCGAGAGCGGCACGGCGAGATCGAAGCTCACGGAAGCAAGCCTGGGTTCGTGCGCCAGAGATATCGGAGGACTCTCCGTTGAGAGTGAGGCTGTCGCCATCGGTAAAGGTGCTCGAGCATGAGGCAGTTGTGAGGGTTCGAAGGTCGTCTTGCGAGAGGGTGACAGAGAGGGAGCTGTTGGTAGGGAGGTTGAGCTTTGCGTCGCGCTTGCCCCAGTATCTGAAGTATGTTAGTTGAAGTAAGAGATGCGAATAGGGAGTTGTTTACTTGACAACAGCGATGTTGACGGGCGCAGTGGTGCTGGCGCGGTAGACCTTTGTGTCAGACATTGTGAAGCGGGGTTGATGATAGAAGAAAAAGTTTAGAAGGAGATATTGAAAGACGAAGATTGGAACAAATCAGACACTGAAGAGAAGCAAGATTCAGAATCCAAAAAGAAGTAAAGTTAAAAGCAACAAAATTAGCTAGACTTCACCGACTTGTTGTAGCGGGAGGAGTTGGAGATGGGCCGCGGAAGGCCTAACCAGAGATTATAGCCCCAACAGGTCTAGTGCGGGGTCCAATTGAGGACCCCTGAATGGAGCCCCTCAACACCAAGCGAACCTGTCATCTTGGGGGGTTGGCCAATGCGTGTAGCTCAAAGATGGGGGTTTTGCATGATGGATGTTCTTTAGCGGCCGTAGATGTGTCAGATTATGCAGCTCTTTGAGTTCGTTATGGTGTGTGATTTAAACGGATACGATGTACGAATACAATTGTAAATGTCTAGAGTTTGGGATGGCCTGAAATTGACTGTTGAGTTAGAACCTAATTTGGTAGGCGAGATTGCTCATAGGTAGTAGCGGCTCACTAGCAGATCAATCTTGATCTTCTATCCATCTCAGTTGATGAATGCTAGAGCGCATTTCGTCATGTCTACAGAGTATACAAACCATAAGATGAGGAACCCTACGATCATTAATGGATATTTCTAAATGTCATTGGTACTTGATTGTCATTGTCGCCAAAGCTTACACGAATGCATGTCAGATCTACAGGGGAATTTGCAGTCCGAATACGGATACTCCAAAATGCCAGGCGGGTGGAGGCTTGGAGGCTGTAGGGTAAGCTCATTTCTCGTCATCAATGCAAGTGACGATGACCTGTATCATGACAATGCATACCTACTTTGGAAACCATTACTCTAAGGAACCGTACTCTTAGGTCTTAAGCTCTTGTTGAAAACAAAAACGCGGTTGAAATCAGCCAGTTGATCCAATAACCGTTAAATTCACGACAGTAGGTACCTTAGTTTCGGGATTGTAGAGAGTTTGGCTCTACTCGCTTGGAAGGCAACACATTTTAGATGATCGCTATATGCCACCTTTGACTCACTCTCCTGCTCTTTAGATCCATCCTATGTTTAGGTCTCAAGTTCTCTGTCTTTCCTCTCTATGATATCTCGACCAACACAGATCTCTGGTGAGAATTGAACACAAGCAGCCTCAATGTCTCAAACCTTGATTATACGCTCCATTGCTCGCCAAGTTCGATAACAGGATGGTCCTACACACAGTGGTAGGATAAGGAAAGTGCACGTGGCGCGCATATGAGACCTTGTTGAAAGCGGAAATAAAGCTCCAGGATAATCAGATCGTGCATTGAAACCCCAGACGAAACAGGCCTGCTCAAATGTGGCTGTGGTGATGTGACGCTAAATACCCCCGATTAAACCAATCAGATGACGTGAGCATGAATGTTCCAGGGACAAACCATGGAACTGTTGACGTCACAAATTCCAAGCTTGTGGGCGCCAATTGATGGATGAGATAGTGGTGACGGTGATCCAAGAATATTCCAACCAAGGCAAAGGTCTTGGCCTGCTAATACATTCTCCTACCTTATTTCCACGTCAAGTCGATCGTATGTCACTCGTATCATTTCCTCCCCCTGTGCATCCTTCCCTCCCGCCTTGGCCTAAAAGCTTACTCCCATCTTGACCTCAGTCCAGTGCTACCTCACCAGACACTCTTTCAACTCTACCTGTTCCTCTTAATATTACGACAAGATACAGCAATAGACCAGAATGAATCACGCTTTAAGGCGCGCAACCTTGGGACTGTCGCCAGGTTTACGAGCATCGCGACTACAATCATCATTTGCGAAACATCAATTACCAGCTGTGTACCATTGCAACACTGCTTCAACACCATTTCAACGCGCTTTTACAACATCGAGATGTTTTAGACAAGAAGCTGCCACGGAAAGTGAACAAGAGGCTGCAGCTAGACGGGACGACCTGAGCGAAAAGGCTCGCAAGAGAGATACGAAAAAGGTCACTTCTGGTTCCAGTGCTCAAACATTGGAGAATGATAGACCATGGCACAGAGCAGACTCTGGGGCAGAACCAGATGCGCCAAGGGATGCCCCTGAGAATAAGGACATGAAAAAGGGTAAGCTGATTTCGCAATCTTGACAGAACTCGACTAATGGTTATACAGGACGTCTTCTAACGACTCCAACCCGCCTACTGAAGCTCATTCTACCAATGCCCTTCCATCCCGAACAAGAACACGTCAATAGGCCAGTGCGGGGTGACGTTGATGATGCAGGCGAAACAGTCGAACCGCTGGCTCTTCTTATTCACCCCCACCAGCCACTTTCCTATCTCGAGCGATTGATCCAAGCCGAAATACCTCCCGTTCAATACAAGGGCCGCGAAAAGCTTCCCGACATTGTTTTCCGAGCCGAAGCCGACCAAGAGGAACAAGGCGGGAAGAAGGAAAACAAGAAAAAGAACGATAATGGCAATGTCGCATCATACTCTGGGCTCGGTCACGAAGGCCCTGCCAATAAAGAAGCCAACTGGGTGCGATGGAGTGGCAGCACCGAGATCGGAGACTTTATCAGAGATGCTGCTCGTGGTCGCGAATTTGCAATCAACGTTGAAGGCTTCGACAAGGAACTCCGAGTTGCCGTACCAAGTTTCAGAGACCGTACATACTACATGCGCATGACTCTGCGACGCATGTCACGCAACATTGAATCCATGTCGAAGGTCAAGAACGAATGCGACGCGCTGGCTCACAAGGGAGCGCACCGTCTAGCACAAGGAGGTTTCGCGGCTCTGGCCGGATGGTGGGGAGTTGTTTACTACGTTACATTCCACACTCAGGCGGGGTGGGACTTGGTAGAGCCTGTCACTTACCTGGCTGGCCTGTCAACTGTCATGGGTGCTTACCTTTGGTTCCTGTACATCAGCCGCGATCTTAGCTACAAGGCCGCCATGAAGGTGACAGTATCCAAGCGACAGGCGGCACTGTACCAAGAGCGAGGTTTCGACCAAAGCAGGTGGGATCAGCTTATCCACGAGGCCAACGATTTGCGAAAGGAGATCAAGATCATTGCAAGCGAGTACGATGTTGATTGGGATGAGAAGAAGGATTTGGGTGGCGAGGAAGTCAAGAAGGTCCTTGAGGAAGAGAAACAGGGTCGCGATGGTACCAAAGTGACCAAGGGTGAGGACGATGATGAAGGTCCCCGATCATCCGCCGAGAACAAGAGGAAGCAGTAAACGATGGCAAAGAAGACAGGCAAAGTTTATACACTAAACTTGAACATCAGATCATGGCGAATATGGCTTAGCATTGGGCTTTTCATTGGAGGCTCGGAGTATGCGACAGCGAGAGTGCTTGTTGGTGGGTTGGTGGTGACATGCCAGGAAATATTTTCTTTGTAGTTTTGTTTCGATCTAAGACGCATAGCGATAGTAACAGATACTGAATCTAATTGTTAGAGATATATATGCGGTGTTTAATTACGAATTGAGATTGATGATAGCTTCAGTCAGATCTCAAATGGGTGTTGGGAAACACATGATAAGAGTGCGATAAGAAGGCGTCTCGATGGATTGATTGGGTGATAACTGTAAAAGTCTTTGACGAGTGGTGTTGTGAACTTGTTGGTTGATTTGGGGTTGGAAGAGGAAGAAATTGCTTTGGACGTGATATGATATGATGGACGACGGGTGGACTTATCATGACGTATAGAAAAAGTGACATGTTAATACCAATTAATTGATACGTACTGTGTTTGACATATCATCTTGGGCGGAGCACAGTGCTACATTTAGTTAATCATCCACTTGACACAATATCTCTCCACCACAGTATCCAACCATTGCTTCGGCGTTTGTCACGATCGTCCCTCCAAAGGTCAGCATGTTTCCGGAACAGGAAGTCTTCTGGAACGTCTCTCGACCCATTCCAGCGACTAACTAAATCACTCGGCATCCCCTCTCTTGAAGCTTCCCATCCCGGCCCGCACTAGCTACTTATAACCCAGAGCCGATCCCCCGCGCAGCACAAGCCCGAAGCGATTACGGATTGTAGTACGACGGATATGGCACCCCAAATTGTTCGATTGCCCGACGGTCAGACCTTTACCGTTACACCCGTCTTTGCTGGCCTTGGTTTCAAGAGCCACGAGCTCAACACGCATCACAATGCCTTCCCCGTTGGATGGACCGTGGTCCTGAATACAGAATCCGAATGCGATACCGACGATAGTAATACTGAGAGACAAGATGGGGAAGCGGAGGAGAATGGTGTCGCGCTCGATAGCCCGAAGCGACAGTTCCATTCGTTCGATAAACCGACACTGCAAGGCGACAACCTCTTCATCTCGTCCATCGCGAACCCTTCCAGCTCCGAGTTCAAACCCGCCGCGAGCCCCACACGGCAGATAGCCATGATGCTATGGATTACGCTCTACTGGTACTTCCACCAACCCGAACCCGCGCCTCAGATATCCGCGCAAGAATCAGAGAAGACACCACAGGTCGCCAAGCCGCGGGGTGAATGGAAGATCAATATCAAGAGGGATGGCGTGTTGCGAGGGCGCAATTTGATTCCCAAGCTTGAGCGCATGGGGCTCATAACCTCTGGACAAAGCGCTGTTGGGACGAGTCTGGATGACAACGGCGACGATTGGTCTAATATGTTCGTATCGAAGCGCATGTTTTGGCAACTCCCTGGGCGATTGTTCTTGTTCTCTCTTCGGCCGAATAAATCGGGTTCGACGTATGATTCGGTTCCTGGATCACCAATTGGCAGTCGCCCAACATCACCTCTACCATTGGAACCAGCGTCGCCTTTCCACAAGGCGTTTCAACGCCATTCGCCGCATTCATCTATCAATCGAATTGATCATGATCTTCCTGGCGGTCCTATGCCGACTTCCATGTCATCACCACCGAGCTTTCCCATCGGTCCTTTCTATTCTAGCTCACATCTCCCGACTTACTACCCGCCTCCTCCTCTTCAATACGTCTTTACGAATAATATCCGTCATCCAATGAGACCGAAGCCTCCAAGGATGGGCGAAGTGTTTTACACTAGATTTGTTCCCAGTGTCGATCAGTATCTCTCGTTTCGAGTCGCTTCCATCTCGCCCAATCCAGTGCCTTACCTAGGCCCAGTTGGACCAAAACCACCAGAACAATCTCATCTGACTACGATGAGCGATACGTCTTTGATACAGATGTGGATGAAGAAACCTCGCGTGAGCGCCTTCTGGGGCGAATACGATGACAAATTCCTCACCAATATTCTCAACCAGCCAAACTCTTTTCCTGTTATCGGACTATGGGATGGAGTACCATTTGGATACTTTGAGGTTTACTGGGTAAAAGAGGATATCCTTGGTCAGCACATCGGTGGCGAAGCGGCGGATTGGGATAGAGGTCTTCATGTGTTTATCGGAGAAGAGTGGGCAAGAGGGCGTGTTCCAATCTGGTTGGCGGGGTTAGTTCATTGGTGCTTTACATCGGATTACCGAACAATGAGTGTGTGTCTTGAACCGAGAGTGGACAATGCAAGGTAAGTCTAGTCTTTCAGCATTGGTGTTCGTCGCTAACAATTACTAGGTTCTTGCAAGGACTTGAACGTACGGGCTTTTCGCGCGAGAGGCAGGTTTCGTTTCCTCATAAGCAATCTTGGCTTGTGCGAATGCGTCGCGAACAATGGGAGGGACCAGCACTATAGGAGATCTAGAACAGGAGCGATGTATGGAGATTTGGCGATGAGAACACGAGAGACGATTTACGAAGTTGGGGATAATACATACGAAGAACACATTACTTACTCTCTTTGAGAAGCGGACATACGAACAGAATATACCTCTTATGCATTTGTACGCGAAAATGGCGTGGTGATCGCTGATTCCTAAGTGTTGTTCTGTCGAAGTAGTTCGAGTCCTTTGACAAGCACAAAGGGCTGCCTGATACGGATTGTTTCCCTTTCATACTGCGACGAACATAACATGGACTTCACACTGAGGATGGGTTGCATAAAAAGGCACAATTCTCGTTTCTGAGACCTCAATCACAACTCATCAGCAACAGTTCCCATTGCACTGCATCAACGCTAACACATTCCAGAAACGCCCACAAAACCCAAACACAACAATTCACCATCAAACAACGGTAAGATGTCTCAATCAACTCCCCCTCAGACCAACGCTGACAAAGACGGACATTTCATCCGCCAAGTCTACCTCCGAGGTCAACTCGCTCCCGCCTTCCAACCACCCACAAAGACATGTCCACGCTGCTTTAAGTCCTTCCAAAGCGTGAGAGTAATGTGTCTGCCCTGCCTCAAAGCAGTAGCCACTGAGAAAGAGAACGACGCTCTAGATCGCAGCAGAGATACCTATCTCGACTCATGCGAGACGTGCAAGGAGACTACTCTTCATCTTGGACCAAGCTGGTGCATAACTTGCTATGCTGTTCCGGACAATACATTCCCAGTGTATTGTGAGGAGTGTGTCGTGCAGAATGATGTCCCGAATAAGGTCCGGGATGACAAGGGTGGGGTTGTGGACATGCTCAAGGTAAGCAGTCTCTGGTGTGTTCACTGTCAGGGTCTTGCAGATTCGTGGGTTAGAATCGACGCTTGAGATGGGGGTTTGGAAGACTAAGACGTCGGAAGGATGCGAGGCCGAAGGCCGATATCGCGAAAGGTGACGGTCTCATGTCAGATTGGTAAGCGCTAGATTTCTTTGACTGTAAATATAAAAGAGCTGGACTCTGCTATTCTCGTTCTCAATAAGTTTGTTTCTTTATAGTTTATGAATATGTCATCTTCAATCTCGGGACTTGAGGCGCTTAAATGCGACTTCTCCATCTCCGACGATAGCACCCCAAAACCATCGCGGTGGTCGGATACACGAATCGACAAACCTGCTCTGGTAATCACTCCTAACACAGAGAGCGATATTCAAGCAGCTATTCGTATTGCCAAGGATAATAAACTCACTGTACTCGCTGCAGGAGGCGGCCATGGGACGTTTGTCAGTGTGGGCTCCTCGGCGCTGTACTTGGACTTGAAGCACTTTAAGACCATCGATCTGAATAAAGAGAAAGGAAGTGTTCGAGTCGGCGGTGGTGTTGTAACGGGCGAGGTGGTGAAGGCATTGGCAGAAGAGGGTTATTATACTCCTGTTCCAAGCTCTGATGCTGTAGGGTTTGTCGGGTGTGTTCTTGGTGGTGGAAGTGGTGTACTCAATGGTCTGCACGGATGGATGATTGATAACATTGCTTCCTTTCGAGTCGTCACAGCTAAAGGTGATATCGTGGAAGTCGGTTCTCAGTCGGAAGGTGAAGAGTTGGCGCTCTTTAATGCTCTTTGTGGTGCAGGACATGGGCTGGGTGTTGTCACAGAAGTGACCGTCTCAGTCTTTTCTATCCCAAATCTCAATATGGAGGATGACAAGATCTGGACGAGGACACTTGTGTTTCCTGCACCGGCGATTGACGTTGCTGTCAAGACATTTCTGGACCTGCGCAAGCCTCAACCTGAAGGTCATGTCACGCTTGTCTTCACGCGCAGTCCTCCAGGCACTCCAGCAGCTGGGGCTCCGATTATTGTCTTGGGGTATACGTTCTTTGGTCCAGCTGAGAGAGCAGAGAAAGAAGCAGGGTTGCTTTTTGAAGACGACATTGTTGGAAGAGCAGTCGTGAACATGACGAATTTGGTACCATTTGCCAACATCAACGCCAAAAACAAAGCTTACGACTATCACGGCGGACACAAAGCAATCGCGTCATGCCGTCTTTACAAGACCAACCCAGAAGCTATAAAGAACACTTTCGAGAAGTGGACGGCAGCAACAAAAGAGTACCCCGACGCTCAGCAAAGTCCACTCATCATATCCTCCTACAACATCGACAAGAGTGTTTCCGCAGCTGGAGATAACTTTATCGACAGTCGCGACAGACCACTCGTTGCGCTAGCAATTGTAATTGCGGAAAGAGAAAAATCCAATCAAGCGTTTATGAGTGTGCTGGAAGGGATTGTTGCTGGGCTGAGGGAGGCTGATGAAGGTGCTGGACCAAGAAGTTTTGCGAATAATTGGAAGTTTGAGACGGATGTAAATGAGATGTTTAGTAAGGAGATGTATGAGAGGTTAAGGGTTGTCAAGAAGACGTGGGATGAGGATAGTGTTTTTTGGTCGCCTTATTTTAAGTGAGTTGTCTTGTTCAGTTGGTTTGGGTGTTAGAATGGAGAGGACGGTATTATGAGTAGCTAGATTGCAGCACTTGGAACGGATGTGTGGACTGTATTAACTAATCATAGCTGGACCGTGTGAATTTGCTTAGAAACATTATCGAGATGCTGGCGGTTTCTGTTCAAAACAGATTATGCAAAGTCAATGACGACGGTAAATGAGTCTGCTGACTTGTTATTCCTTCTCAAATATCCCATACACAGAACATTGACTCACTGTTAAATAATGTAATGCTGTGTAAGCTCTTGCGGGCATTGTGATCCACTTTCATGATTTATGTTGTTGTGATTCACGCCGTTGGCAACCCTATCACGCTTCTAAGAATCTCCCCAGTACCGGGGCCAGGAGGAGGGGGACTCGACAAAGTGGCCCTGACCGAACCCGCCGTGGCTTCGGCGGCGATTGCGACCGCCCTGAAGCGCGTCGTCCGACCCGTTCTCCCGGCACCATGGTGCCGAGGTGTGCATGAGCGTTCGTAGAGGTCCATCTTGTCGCGATCGAATATTTCGTGATAGACAATATAGTCTGCACGTCTCATTACATCGCTGTAGAAGCAGCCGGAAAGGAACAAGCATTATCCGACAAGTTCAAAAGCGAAATTATGGCATTGGTTTCAAGGCTCTATACTGCCACGAATCGAACCAGGCCTCGTTCCAGAACGAAACTGGCGCGTGATGGTTGGTGTGTTCATCTGAGTCTGCCGCTCACCAGGACAGCACCGCCCAACAGAGCCATGGATACGACTAGGCCAATCTCGAACAACAATTCCAGCGCGATGTCAACTTTAATGTCGCCGCCCAACAGGGCCATGAAGGTCCCAAGGATACTGACCATTCGTAATTGTCGGACATGGCGCCGGTGGCTTCAAGGATCTGTGTTGGCCCTTCATTTGCATAGCACATTCGATCGCTCAAGAGGCGAGTTTGGCTTCGAGTTCCAACCCAGGGTAAGGGAGAAACGTAAGATCGACTATGACTTACAATTGCCCAGCTCATGTAGATAGCTTATTCCGTTGGTGATCTGATAGAGAACATCCCGTTGTGCTGATGAGGAGCTAGAATAGCGTTTTGGGCAAGGCTTCTGATTGGCCTCGTATTCCGTATTCCGTATCACGTATTGAACCCGTCAGCATGGACCCTTAAATTCATGAAGTAGAGTACTTAAACAGACAGCAAACCAACAAAAACTGGTCGTAAATGTTGTTCCATATCATTTTATTTTGCGTTTCACACAATGTTTAGAACATCGCCTCGCACAGTTTTGCGAAATCGTATTCCGCAATCATCACTTCGCTTCTATGCAACATCTTCTCGCACACACCAAACCATTCACTTATCAGATGGTCGAAAGCTAGGCTTTGCAGAATATGGAAGACCAAATGGAAAACCAGTCTTTTACTTTCATGGATTTCCGTCATCAAGGCTTGAAGCACAGCCCATTGACGACATAGCTCAACGATGCGGTGTTCGTCTCATTGCCCTCGACAGGCCTGGTTTTGGGCTATCATCACCCAAGCCTGACTATCGCATCACCGACTGGCCCAAAGACGTAGCGGAACTCGCAAAAACAAAGAAAATCACCGAATTCTCTGTATTTGGACTCTCTGGAGGTGGTCCCTTTGCTTTGGCTTGTGCCTACGTCTTGCCTAAACGTGCACTTATAAGTGTTGGACTGTTTGCTAGTGCACCGCCTTGGGAAGCAGGTGTTCAGCACGTCGACAAGTCTCGTCGCATACTGAGGTTTTGCGCGATGAAATTTCCAAATTTACTGGCGGGTGCCTTGAGTATGCTCATTGGCTCTGTTCGATGGCTTGTTCTGACAGGGCCTGCGATAAACCGAATCGGAAAATGGCTCGATACCCAAGATGCAAAGGAGAAACCCGGAATTGAAATCACAAAGTCTCACACTGAAAGAGTCGAGGATCTTGTCAACATGCTCCTTGACGAGCCATTCCGTCAAGGCGCCCGTGGGACAGTCCACGAGACCAAACTGCTGTCTTCTAAAGACTGGGGGTTTAAACTCGAGGATGTTGACTATGACAGAGTTCAAATCTGGCATGGAGTGAAAGATACGAATGCGAATATTGCTATGATCCGGTACATGGCGGAGCGTATACCGAATAGTGAGTTGACCGAGTTTGAGGAGGATACTCATTACACCATGTACAAGCACATTGAGCCAGCGCTGCGTAGTTTGGTGAACAACGAGGAGAAGAATGAGTGATAGAGAAGGATTGGCTATTTTACGAGGAGATTGGTTTAGATATTGTACAATAGATTGGTCTAGAGTTTGTTTGATACAGGGCAGCGCCGGCTCTAGTTTTATTTGGGCGAAGAATACCACCCTGCAACTGCGCGCGTCACGGGATACAGACGATCCAGTCCTCCACTGGTAGTCAATATTCCAGCTACGCCAGGGACCGAAAATTACCTTGGGCTTTCAATCTGTGACGGAAGGGATCGCATTAACGATTCTGATATGCTAATTAAAGTGTCGGCTTGTGCGGACTGTGATGTTAGCGTCAAGTGGGTACAAATTAACTACATGTCAACAACAACTGTGATACCGTCCGGCGAGGATGCTTATACCTCTACTATAAAGGCCTCGGGGACTGAATCGGGCACTTTTATCTTTGGTATTCCAGCTACTGAAGCTCCGATCACTACCACCTGTAGTGAACCAACCACCTCTGCTGAGCTTTCTACAAGTACGTCTCTCATCTTATCTGAGCTGCCAGGTCCATCAAAGGTCTATTTTCATTCAAAATGTGTAAATATTCTCTATGTATATACTCGCTCAACCTGTGAGCATTCTTGACTAATATCAATATACAGTCCCTAAATCCAATCCAATCAAACAACATATACACATGAGAACAAACAGGGTATTAATATCATGACCCTCAGTGACCAGCACCAAGAGAGCTCAAAATCGGTGCAACCTCATCACATAATCCCCACCGTCTTCTACCCAGAGGTAAAAGCGCATTAAACCTCGCCGTCCACCCATCAGCCACACACCTACACAACGGAATATTATTCACGGCTGCTGTCCCATCAGCCTGTATCCACGTTTCTAACCTTGCGGTGCTGATGTTTTGTAGATTTGGTGGATCGACGCCAATGTTGATGTGGTTCAGACTGGGAACACACATACAAGCTGCTTCGCTGAACAAAAGCCACGCCCATACTACAAGGGCACTCATGGAAATAGCGAGGTAAGCTGCTGGATCGATGGACTGTGTTTGGGGTGAGTTGGATTCCAGAGCTGTCTCACAGTCTATGAGTACCGCAAGAGCGTGGAGCAAGGCCTTTCGACTTTCTGGTGACTTTGTCCAGAGACTTAATTGGTTGTGAAGTTTTTGCAGGCGTGGTCGTACGGTGGGTTCGCGGTCGGTGAGAACAGGCGATGTGTGAGCTTTAGCAACGGTGTTGATCGTCCGCGTGTCGGAATACAGCTGAAGACTTTGCAGATGATAAATCATCATGCAATCTGAAGTCAAACACTTGACGTGCACCAAGGCAGCGGCTTTTGCCCTTGGTATATTATCGTCAAAGTCCGCGATATACGCCTTGAATGGAAACTCTCCCATTCCTGGATCGTGAAAGGTTTGAAAACACTGGTGCTGTAGTCTCTCAACATCAGCTTTCCACGCTTCCAGCTGCCACGCCAGCGATGCTGTCGAGTTATGTGTCGACCGTCCTGCCTCGGCGCTTCTACGCACTATTTGAGCGTGGTTCCATATCGCGGGTGATAAACCGCACATAGCGAGGTGGACATCTTCCAGGAGTAGAAGAGATTTAGCGGGGGTGTTTGGGTTGGCGCAGATTTCTGTGATTTTAAAGTTTGATCGGTCGGTTGGTTCGAACGGGAGACGCTTGAAGAAAATGTCTAGACCAAAAGCGTTCCAGAGGGAGAATGTGGCGGGCATGGTGAGGTCGAGTTCTTCTCTGAAGAGGGTTGGAGCTTGGAAATGGGCCAAGGCGTAGCAGGTGTCGATTTTGTACAGCGAGACGATAATTCTGGATTTGTGAGCTTCTTTTATGTAGTTTTTGAGGTCGAAGGAGAAATACCGTTTCCATTTCTCACGGACTGTCATTAGCCACGGGACAAACGTTCCTGGGTAATGGATGCGTTGTTGTTCTGCTGAGCCGTCGCTGTTGAAGAAGTCGATTTCTCTCATTGACATGATAAGCGTGCCTCGTAGTAAAGATGCTTTTGCAATTAATCTCTGGTCCTAATTGTACAGTTAGTACATGAAACAAAATCATGAAAGGTTGTACTGACTCCATGGTAAAAGGCAAAGACGATTTGGAGGGCGGTCGTTTGATATGTTTCTATCGGCCAAGGTTTATCAAGTTCTTGTCGACATATCGTATTTGACTTGTACTCATTAGTAATTCACTTTTATAAGTACGCGGTCTGAACTTACGATGTATTCAGAAGCTGCATTCATAAGAGTCTCGTGCAACTCCATTACCACCTCTCCATACTCATCCGGATTTTTCAGCCAGCAACTTATCATAGCCACAGATGTCGCGACAATAAAGGAATCTTCCATACCAATGGTATAAGAAGGGGCGTGTAAGATAGGCCAAGCTTCATGGAGGCGGCCAAAATATTCTCTTGAGTTCGCCTCGATCCATGGATGATCTACTGCGGGAACAGGTGTAGGTTCGCCGAGAGATATCTTGCCTGTTCGAATGTCATTGGCGATTCGCTTAAAAGCCGTTTTAATTTCATTGGCGGGAGATGTCCCAAGCGCTAGAGGGGGTGTGATGGAAGTAGGCGCGTTGATCTCTTGAACATCCTGTACCGGACGAGACGATGCTCGGTTAGCATCTTCGACAGGGCTTCTGCTACTCCTACTGCTTCCACTTTTAGAAGCATGCTTATATGTACAGCTTATACCTCTCTTGATACAAAGAGTACACTTTGTACCACCGTCACACTTTGTTTTGTTGGCGTGGCACGCGTCGCAGGCTCTTCCTCGTCGAGGATCTGGCGCTGTGGGCATGTCATGCCGTGAAAGGTGACGTCTTAGCAAGTCACTAGGTAGAGAAAACAAAGGTCAGGGGGTGTAAGACGATTGGGCGGAGATGGCAAAGACGTACTTGCGCGTAAAGGAACGCTGACACATGGGACATATGAAATTGCGCTCTCCATGAGTGGCTTGATGTCTCCTCAGATGTTCCTTTCTGATAAAGCTCTTTCCGCAGTGACACACATGGCGTGAAGGGGTCGGTTCTGCAGAAGATCTGTTGGTAACGCGAATGATTGGTTAGTAAAGGTTGTGTCTCGGAGATCCCATCCCACATAGAGGGCCGAACCTATTATTGGTGTCTGTTGTTGACATGCTGACTTCATTGTGGGATAGTTCCATAGTTTGTGGATATCTCGTACATGGAAACAAAGCAAAAAGGTGCTTATGGGAAAAGACCGAGTGGGATCTCGGTGTATTGATGGAGAAAAGAAACAAAGAATGAGACAAGTTACGTACATTTGCTGCATATCAATCAATATCTTTTCGAGGCTTGACTTGGTAATCGTGAGTGGGATGGCCGGTGGGGAGAGTGGGATGGTTTGGTCGGGGTCCGCGGTTGGAGAATGACCTGTCTAACCAATAGAGAGTGTTAAAAATAGAAACAAGGTTTCAAAAGGAGATGATTCTAGTGAGCGAGGCATGACAAGGGTATGTTCTCCCACTCGGCTATCCCGTTTTAATATCCCGTTCTGCCTGTGCCACACACAGCCACTACCCCCAAGGTTGAAGTGGCTGGAAACGAGTGGGAGATTTTCTCTACCATCTTTTGAATCCATTGGGGTGGAACTTGACCTGTGATGATATGCTCGTGTTCTGTCTCAAAGTGATGTCTGGCACGACCATTTCCCCTTCTCTGGACTATTGCCTTTCGCGATTCTAAACAACGCATTAATTAGTCAATTAGATCTATTTATTCTTAATCTCAAGTTCATTTAGTTAAAATGAATTGCTGACCAAGTCGTACAGGGTAGCTTTGGTACAACAACTGTCAGGCGATCTGTGTGGGCTGGGTTGGGGGTTAGAGTTTGAAGTGGAACTCCTGCTATCTCAACCAAGCATATACATAGAAAGAGTATGGCCTTTCTTAATAGCAATAGCACAACTAAAAGCGAGCATAACCTGATAGAAAGTGACTCGCCCGCCACAGCCCGTCCATTGTTCTTACAAAAGCCTGTCCACATCTGAGAGGAAAGCGGCAAAATAAAAAAGGCACAAGTGTTGTGTTCAGTCAGTATAAATGATCTGAATTCTGTCTTGTAGGCCATTTGGCATCACAGCGACTAATGTTCTTCATTCCCAACGACAGTCACATCAGACGCTGTACGAGTTGACATGTCATCCCCAGACCTCATGACGCTATTGGTTGGTTGCTGAGGGTTATATCGAGGACTGCCTGAACCAGGATAAGCTGAGAGCATTTGTGAAGGGTAAACCATACTGGTCCATATTCATGATTACAGGCATCAAGGTTGCTCGCACAGGAACAAGACAAACGAGGGAGGAAAGCGGCGCAGCTATCAATGTCGGGCCAGAACTGTAAGTTCTTCCTTACCACCTGCCTGAAGAATAGGAACTAATGCTTTGACAGGGAGGTTCCAGCTCTTGCTAGTCTGACAGCTACTACTAACATCAATCGTGCCACCTCGGAAAGCTATTCTGGAAATTACACAAGGGATTTCATCTGGGCTATTCGACTTGCTAAAGTGCGCAATGGGTTTCTGATGAAGGACTGGTCTGTCGCTGCATATACCAAGGGAGGGATGTTCGCAAATGGAAAGGACGATGTAGATGTTGAGAGTGCACTACAAGGTGAAGGATTGGACGAGTTTCAGATTTTTGATGATATTGACCTGGATGAGGCTATTGTGTTGAACGAACATGTTATTTGATGTCCGGTATAGGATCTCCTGCTACTTGTTGACAAGTCATGTTTTTGGCTTACGCAGCCTTGATCAGTTTTATCCCCAATTCTCTTAGTGTACTATTCACATCTTTCCGTACCTTCACTTCCAAGATACCTGAAAAGCAACTGTCAAAAGCGCAAGAGCCGGAGTAATTTTATTTCTTAATGCGGATTTACACCCCATGCAACCCTAAAACTTCCTTCTTAAACCCTAGTAGGTTCCCTGGGACAGACCATATGTCCCTTCTCTTTCTGGTGCTCCCAAAACTCTGCCCATTCCTGAAAGACATGAGGCGTGCCAGGCTCATGGTCAAAAGGACAAAAGAACGTCCGTGAACTTTGCCATTGAATATGACAGACGGGGCATGCACTGCCCTTAACTCCATCTCCATTACCATTTCCTCCGGTCACGGCTTTGTAATGTTTATGCATCATCGCTGCGTTGAGAAGTCCCTCCAAATATTCCAAAAAATCCTCCCCCATGAATTTTGTGACGGCATCTCGTGCCCTTCCCATCATGAGATCCCAGATATCTTCCTCGAGAGCTATATGTGTCTCATAGCACATGATTATCATGACTGTCTCGACAAGTACGGCCTTCGAACCTGTTTCTATTTGCATAAGTCCCTTCAGCTTTTCAACAACCTTCAGTGCCGTGTTGGGACAAAAGTGAAGATGTAATAACCCCTTTGCCGGCTCGGGCAGCTCGAATAAGACTTGCCCATTCTGGTGTTTAACAGCGAATTTCCAGTTGAGAGGGTCAATGATTCTTGGAGACAATGACGTGGCACTTGCTTTTTCGGTTTTGGATTTGGATAGGTAATTATTGAACTTTCTTTTAATATGAGGATTTTCGTTCCTCACTTGTCGTTTAGTGCGTTCTGACCCTACCTTATAATTGACCCGCGGTAATCCGGCACTACCGTGGTGACACGCGCCAAACGGAAGGGATTGTGTATTCGTTGAATGAATTCCAGTTCCTGGGTATCGAGTGCCCAGTAAGTCTCCATTCGTAGATGTCTTTGAAGGGTAATTGGCATGCCGAGAGATGATGCCATGTGAAGGGAGTGTTTGTCTAAACACCGAAGGGTACTTGGAATGTGGAAATGGCATGATACGCGGAGGGACTGAAGAGTAACTGGCCTTTCCAACAGAAGGGTAACTGGAATGCGGAGGGAGAAATTGTGTAGTCCCTGCAGGATATTCGTGATCTCACGACCGCTTCTCTGGTGCTACAGAAGAGGATAATGAAGAATCTGTATTGTAGCCGAACTCTATATCGTCATCACTCTCCGGATGCGCCATCGTGAGGAGTTCGCTGAAATCAACACCCTCATACATTGCTTTGTAGTGCTCTACCATACTACCCTCTTTAGTAGTGGCAGGCTCATCCTGAGGAACAGCTACGAAGCTCGTCCACTTGCTGGTTATCGAGCATTTAGTCCCGATTGTTTGAGCATTCTCGTCAATGAGGAGTGAGTTGGAATCATCCCGTTTGACGAGGTCTTCCAGATCCGTCAGTGTGGCCTTCGCTGCCAGTCGATGCATTGTCCCATCTCGGCCTGTTGTCTGTTTTACTGGAAGTCTGTATGTGTTATTCTTCTCTCCATGTGTCACGGCGGTGATGGTGATCTCGCTTGGAAAAACGCCACTGTCCTTAATGTCCATTAGGAAGAAGATTGAGGTGAATTTGAATGGGTGAAGGGCAGCGGTAGTATGGGAAACCTGGAAGTAAGACACTCGTTGTGAATACGAGGTATTGCTATTGAGTCTGAAGTCCATCAGACTGCGCCGCTCAAAGTGATGACTGATATGGATATCACAATCCCAGCTGTCCGGCGCCAATGATGACCTAAATAGTCGATTCAACCGGCTATGCCATCTTGGGTTCTGGGTAGTATCAACGATGTCGCCAAACCCACCTCCCAGTTCTGCAATGCTCTCAACGAGACTATGAGGAACGTTGCCACCAATACCTAGGGCAAAGAACCGGATCTTGTTCTGTAGTTCTTGGAGTGTCTTTCAAACAAACTCCATCGGTTTATGTGGATCCAATTCCCCATCTGTAAGGACTATAATCTGTGTTGAATTGGTATCAACTCGTCGACGTAGAACGGTAGATTTGAATGCCCGAAGTAGGTCTGTTCCTTCCAGGTTCGCCTCGACTCTAGACATGTATTCTTTGGCTTCCTTGACATTATCAGGTGAGTGTTCCCTGGACTGTTCCCACATTCTCCATGTTTCTGAGCCCCAAGAGACTATGTTGAAAGAGCATGTCGTGGGGAGACCTGAGATCACCAATAGCATTGCTTCCCGTAAAACATCGATCTTCCTTGGTCCATGGTAGTTGCCTACCCTGTAATTCATGGAACCTGACTGATCAAGGAGGAAGAGGATCTTTCCCGAGAATGACTGAGGAACGACAGCATTTCGGAACATGTCACATGGTCGAATGCTAACCATCATCGCAGCCAGACCTGTATCATCCGGCGCACACAACATAGCCCTAGACTGTATTTCATGACCCTTTTTCATCTGAATGATAAACACGAAGTCTTCCCTCAACGTTGGTTGTTCGGAATGATGGTCCCAACAATAGAATTCTTCGGGGGTCGGTTCTCTGTTGCCATCTAACCTTTGCGGAGATTCTATTACCTGTAGCCCATCATAGTATAAACTATGCCCTGACTCTTGCTGGCAACCATGAAAGTTGACCTTGCCATCGTTCAAAACCAGGAGCTTGATGTCCAGTCCGACGTAGGTGATTTCCGATGCTGGCTGGAACCTGCTGTAATGCGGTGCGACGCATGTTGGAAGAATAAACGCCACTCCCTCGGTAGATTCGCCTTCCGTCATAACCACTTCCAGCTCTTGAATATAAACAATTTTAACTTCAATTGTCTTCATTGGAGGGATATTACCAAGCGATGTCTCGAATATTTCTGGTGTATGCTCTTCGAGAAGTGCAGCAGCCTTGACCTTCTCCTGTACTGCCTTTTTGTATTCTTGACGAGCTTGTTCCTTCGACCTGACGACGCCTCGGAGACGCCGCTCGTCGCCAATTGTACACTGGAAATCTGTAATAACAGCGCCATCGTACAGCGGGAATGTGTGTCGTGCCTCGTTAATGGTCATTTGTGAAGGGTTGTGGAACCTCTGTGTAAGTGTTGTACGGGAAAATGTTCCTTCAATGATGGTAGTTGAGGACACATTGAGTGCAGTGAGACACAAAGTGGCCTTCTTCTCCTTATGCGAGGGGCCAGCCATGAACGATGATTTATATTGCGAATGGTCATCATACTTGGCAAACATGGCGAGAGACACTGGGTGATCTAGAGTAGGAGTATTGCTGTAGGAAAAATTGCGAGCTTTCCTACTTCGAACACCGGGAATCCTCTTTTGGAAGTTATTCGTCTTTAACCTTTTTGGATACCGGGAGGGTTCATCAGGAGGGACACGCTGTGTCTCGTCTGGGGCTGAGAATAAAACTCCAGATGTGACCGAGAATAACACGCCGGACTGGGGACGTTTGGTAGGGACATGGCGACTGGACATGGAGGAGTATGAACTGTCTTGCTTAGCGCTTAGGAAATTGTAGTTTTAAGAGAAGATCTTGACTATACTGTAGTTTTTGGATGGGTTCAGAAAGGTTATCGGAGCATTGAAGGGAACGTGGTTCAAACATTCTGCTTTGTCAGAGGACAATTTCTCTGCTTCTCACACTCTTTACGCCAGAAAGCAATTTCCGTTGAAAAAGGGCGAAGTAGAAATTGATCTGTTTACTGAATTGTCATCTGACATAGGCGCTCAAATATCGGACCATTCTCACCAGGGTTGGTAGAAGAACCACATCAACCTAGAGCAATATCAATCATGGACAAATTGCAGTCGTCCGTGTAAGCACCACCCACCGTATACTCTTAGAGGAGCACTGAACTTGTAAGCAAGGAAAGTAAATGTGCAATCAGGCAAGCTGAGGATATGACGAGGGACTTCGATGCACTGGCACACAATGTGCTGGGTGCTGCAAGTCAGCTATTCCCATTAATCAGACGCCCTGCCATCTTCCTCAAAGGCCTCACGGTTGAGGAACTTATAATCGACAACGATCAACAGTCTAACGCGACTATTAATAGTAGAGTCATCTGCCCCAATGCTCGTATCTATGGAACATCGAAGAAAATAAGGACGAATGTCAAATTTCGTTGTTGTTGCGACGACTCACCACACAAGTCCTATCTCGACTACAGAGGTATGTAGTTTAGCCAGACGTACACACGCTATCATGAAGTGACACTTTATATAGTATTACCTGGGAAAAGTTTACTCAGAGAAGAGGTCGGACTTGACGGCCTTCGACGATGGAGCATCCTTTTATTAAGGTCAAATAAGCCAGTCGTCTTGAGGCTATTGGATGTTCCACTTTGCTGTATAAACGATCTTTTACCTGGAAACTTCGTTTAGCAGCTAACAGTACTTAGACAGAAGTCCTGTTCAACGCCTGGCATATGACATCGGGGAAGCCTATTTAACCTGCCAGGAAAATTATGCTAGCAAACCAGACACGGAGCCCGAGTTAGGGAGATTCGAAGGTTTCCAAACGTGAGTATGCGTGTGGTTCGATCCGATCAGCCCTCTGGAGATACACCACCGCTCACTGGTCTATACTTAATACAAACTAACCCGCAATGAAGTGACTGGGGCTTCCCTTCAACCAAAGTAAGCACTGTTATGTGCGAATCGGCAGGGATTAAGCGTTCTCTTGGCACCCCTTCAAAAGTTATGTTAAAACACTACACAGTGGTTTCCAACTTCTCTATAAGCGAATCTTCGAATGTCCCATCCCGGAGATGTCCGTTTCCTGACAGATATTGCCACCTGACAACTGGCAATTCTGCAAATGCTGCAGTTGAAAGGACGATACTTGGTAATTCAGATTTCGAATTGAATTCGTATTCTCTTTCTGACTTAGGTCAACGCAGTAACAAACCAGACGCGTATATCTCATGAAGAGAACCCGCTCGGCAGGCTCTTTGTGACATTAGCGAATGTGTTTCTGGTTGTGGGTGACAGGAGGGCTGGAGAAAGAGAAGCCTGTAACGTATATTTCAGTTTCGATGAGCGCACAGGTGAGTCTGCAAACACACTTGGATGAGCTCTTGATAACATTGATTGTAGAAGCAGAATGTTTCGCCCACTATTTGAAGGTCGCTCAGATGTCATTATTTGAAAAGTTCATGCACAGCCCTTTATACGATGAAAAAGCCATATATTACCAGTATGCCGGCAAGACGCTGAAAGGTTGTGGAACTACGCTGACGTAAAAAGGGACTTCCCAGTTTCCGACGTTGACGGAAACCCGGCTAAAGTAAATCTCACTATAGTGTCACGAGACATGAGCGATTCGAAACATGAGCGATTCGAAACATGAACTTTGTGCAATAATATTCCAGAACAATGATTTTCGTCGCATCTGCTTCGACTGTATGGTTGTAATCTTGGCGAGCTCCGGAGAGACAGTCTGCTAACCAAACAATAGTCAAGTCCAGGTCGTCTCATGTGGAGCGACTGGACCTACTTCAGTCCCGGATCTGGGTTCTCGATTACGACGCAAATGGCAAGCCATATAGTTCTGAAACAGATTGGGAGACACTCACCGGACTGAGGGTAGTTGAGTCGTTTGAAAGAGCTACTTTTGTCAAAGGGTCTGTGTGTGCCAACGTCTGCCATGATATCCCAGGGCAGAAGATCGACGGGTTACTTCCACAGAAAAAACTGGCTGTTCTTAACAGTGGACACGAACGTACAGCCAACGACTGGCTAGATGACCTTGAAAAGCTGTTCGGGGTGATGAAGAGAGATAAGAAAGATCAGTACGAAAAGGTCAAGATCGCAATCATTGACTCAGGTATCAATGACACAGTGAAGGGCCGTTATATGGCCGAAAATAGTATTGAGTACAAGGACTTCACTCATGAGATATACAACGATTCATGGCACGGGACTTGCTGCACCAAGATCATTTTAGACATGTATGAAGAGGCACAGCTCTTCATTGCCAGGGTATTTGAGAAGGACCATGCGAATAATGAAGAGGGACCAATTCGAATGGCCAAGGTTTGTACGACTACTCACCGTCTTTTTTACCTGCTTACTAGTACCTGTCAGGCTATTGATTGGGCCATGAGTAACTGCGTTAACATTATCAGCATCTCCGCTGGAATTCGTGACTATTCAAAGGAGCTGGATGAAGCCGTGACCAGGGCCAAGGCGGCTGGCACTCTTGTCGTTGCCGCAGCTGCAAATTGGTCAAACACTGGCACTGTTGCGTTTCCAGCACGACACAATCTCACCACTATGTGCATATACTCAACCAACATGGGCAACCAGAGTTCAAATTTTAACCCAGAACCAAGAAGTGATACATCTAACTTTGCCGTTCTGGGAGAGGGGTTCCAGCACTCAGACCAAAAAAGAAATGAACAAATGAGTGGGACATCAAGTGAGTACCGGATCAAGTCAAAGAGACGTTATATATATACTTACTCCTTATCTATAGTGGCCACTGCTGCTGCTGTGGGACTTGCCGCTAATATTATTGACTTCTCCCGTCAAGAAGATAACAAGTCGTATATCTGCAGATCACAAGATGTAGGCAAACTCGCCGGCATGTTGTCAATCTTCAGCTCTATATCCAGGCCTGCTGGACCTCTTAGATATGTGGCACCATTGGACCTATTGCCTGCAAATCATGGAACCAACCGGGAAAGGGGTCGACAGAGAGTTCGGGAAATTCTGTCATTGGCAATGGAAAGAGCGAACTAGGTCTATGAAAATGGAAATAAAGTTTCAAAGGGAATAATTCTGGTTAGCGAGACAGATGTTAGTGCGTTTATCCCACTCGGCTATCCCGCCTTGACATCCCACTTTGCTTGCGCCACTTACAGCCACGTCTCTCAGGGACAAAGTGGCTGAAAACTAGTGGGATGCTGCTCATGTAATGCAATTCCATGTGAATAATGCGTGCCTTGTTAGTGTCGGTAATGCATCTCGGTATCGGGCAACTACAACATCCGAGGTGTCTTTGTAACGATCGATTGTATGATCAAGCCATGCAATTACTCCATACTTCCACGGAATCACATCATTAATAATGTTACCGTGTCAATTAAACTATATATACATCAATATCGTCCCAAGATGATCCAATTCATCACTCTCAAGCATCTTCTCAATCAACAACCAACAAACAACACTATCAACTTTAGTTTCAACTACAATACCAACTCAACTCAATAATATTAAAATGTCTGCTCTCAAGAACATCGCCGTCGCTGGTGCCGCTGGTGATCTCGGCTCAGCTGTCTTCAACGCCCTCGTCACCTCAAACAAATTTAACCTTACAGTCCTCACCCGCAAGGACTCAAAGAGCACTTTCCCCTCTGGCACAAAAGTCATCCAAGTCGACTACGACTCTCTTGAGTCTCTAACTGCCGCTCTCCAAGGCCAAGACGCTGTCGTCTCTACAGTCGGCAGTCTTGCCATCCCCAGCCAAAACCTTCTCATCGACGCCGCCGTCGCTGCAGGTGTCAAGCGTTTCCTCCCCTCCGAATATGGATCCAACCTCGTTGCTCCCAGCGTGAGGAAGCTTCCCGTCTTTGGTACAAAGGTCGCCATCGAGGATAAACTCATTGAGCTTGCCAATCAAGGCAAGATTAGTTATACCTTTGTGTACAACGGTATCTTCCTCGATTGGGGGATCAAGCACAACTTTTTCTTCGACTTTTCCCAGCCTGAGCTCACTATCTGGGATCAAGGTGATGCAGAGTTCAGCACTACTACTCTCGCTAGTGTCGGCGATGCTGTAGTCGGCGTCTTGGCCCACCCCGAAGAGACACAGGACCGCATTGTCTACGTCCAGGATATAGTCCTCACCCAAAACAAGGTTCTTGAGCTTGCAAAGGAAGTCAGCCCTGGAAAGGAGTGGAAGGTTAAGCATGACAAGATTGATAATATCACTGCGAAGTCTGATGCCAATGTGGCCAAGGGCATTTATGACTGGCCTACCCTGGGACCTTATTTGTTCCGAGCTATCTTTGATGCGAAGAGCATTCCCAAGTTTGAGAAGCTTGATAATGTGTTGCTGGGTATTAAGGGTGTCACTGAGGAACAGGTCAAGGGATTCCTCAAGGATCACATCCAGTAGATGGATTGAATATAAATAGTGCTTAATTGCTCAGAATAGATAGGTGCCTGGCAATTGGATAATAAGTTATCAAAATTATTTCAGTCATCATTCCTGCATTTTCTGTCTTTTCATCTGATATAGCTTTGTTGAAATGCCAAGCATCCAAACTCATATTCTGTAAAGTAAAAGCAGGGGAGATGATCCTTTGATCGACATTTGTCAGCCCGACTTAATAACGCCCCGAAGGGCGCAGTCATGACGTTGAGAGGACATGACACGGTATCCTCTCAGTACGGGCATTCTGTATATAAAAACCACGACTAGGCCATCGGAATGTCAGAAACAAAAATAATATTCGTTAAACTTGATTAACCATAGCCACAATGGGTTCTACCAACATCATGCCAAAACTCATCCTCTATCGAACAAACGGCTCTTGCTCTCTCATCCCTCACGCCATTCTCCTACACTACAAAATCCCATTCAACACAATCCGTCTCAAACCAGGCCCAAATGGTTATGAAGCCGCGGACGGAAGTTTCACAAATGATGAATACCGCGCCATACACCCAAGAGGCTACGTCCCCGCCTTGGCTGTCGACAACGAAATCATCACCGAGATGCCAGCTATTCTGAGCTACATATCCTCCCTCGTCCCAAAAGAGAATCTTTTAGGTGCGACGACGTTTCAAAATGCCAAGGTCATGGAGTGGCTGGCATTTCTATCGGGGACTTTACATGGTCTTGGATATGGTGCTTGGCTACGACCGGGGAGGTTCAGCGATGATGTATCGGCTCATGATGGCATTCGCCTTAAGGGAAAGGGTGTCATACATGAATCCTTCAAGAGGATTGATGATTGTTATAAAGAGAGTCTGTTTGCCGTTGGGAGTACTTTGACGGTTGTGGATTTTAATGTCTATGTTTTCGCACGTTGGGCGCATGAAGTGGCTATTGACTTGGAGAAGGAGTATCCGTTCTACTACCAACATTTGAAGAGAATTGAGAAAATGGACGGCGTCAAAGAGGCAGTCAAGGCTGAGGAGCTAAGCCTTGCATTTTTCTAGTGCTTCAAGCGAGACATTTCACGATTCAGGCCAATCAAAATCGAAGAGACATGATTTATAAAACGAATGACAATCTATAAGTAATATGCTCTAAATGCCCAACTCCATCATTCCTGGAATCAATCTACAGAAGCCCCTTCGCATGTCGCCTCCTATGCCTGCTCAAAAACGCCATTGCAGTAGAGTTATTAATATACAAATTCATCTTTGCCAACCCACCACAATAAGCAAGACTGTTACCAGGACAATTGATGTTGCAATCCGTCATGGTAACATTCTTACCCTGTCCAATAAGTCCTTGCCAGTTGACCGTGTTACCACAATAGCAATCGCGGCCGTTTTCAACGCCAGCGTACTTGTAGTTCCCGCACTTGTCAAGACAAGTATCGACAGTCATAAACCTGGAGTCTGTAAGGACAAGATCTGAGAGAAGTCGACCTATGAACGGTTCAGAAGCGCAAGAGTAACTTTGGAAGTTCCTGAGTCCAGTCGCAGGCTTGCCAGCTTTGTAAAGCTGTAGTCGCTGTGTTCCACCACAGTACTGGGTCTTGTCGCCTGGACAAGTAGCGGAGCAGTCCTTTTGATTGAGAGCCTGATAGCTTCCAATGTTGAGGAAGTTACCACAGTAACAATCGCGTCCATTTTCGGCACCGAAGTAGGTGTAGCCTGTGCAGAAAGCGGCACAGGCGTCGAGATCCATGTCGTTGCTGGAGGTGGTCTTGGAGCTGAGCGCACGAATGAGGAACAGAGGTTCTGCCCAGCAGCCTTGGAATGACCATGTACCGATTGTGTCTGAGATGGAGGGACCGGTAGCGACAGGTTTAGCGGATGACGTGGTTGAGCTGGTGGTGCTTGTTGAGGTGGCGCGTGAAGCTGTGGATGATGTCGATGAGGTTGAGGTTGACGACGTGGTGGATGTCGTGCGAGAAGTGCCAGCTAGTGTAGAGGCAACGGATGGAACGGCGACCTGAGAGGCCAATGAAGTTCCGGCAGAAGAAGCAATTCCAATTTGAGTACTTGTGGAGGGTAAATTCAATGATGCACCAGCGGATGAAGGCACTGATACGCCTGCAATCGAGCTTGGAGCCACAGCCACGGACGAGCTAGCAGATGTCGGAGCCGATTGAGCAGCTGCCTGGGAGCTCAGTGAGGGAACAGCCAGAGATGTTCCAGCAGATGCAACACTCGACAAGCCTGCAACCTGGGTCACTGGAGCAATCAGGGACGTGCCAGAGGACGAAGTGCGACTAGTGATAGACAGTGTGGTGCTAGATGAGACGACACTCGAAGGACCTGCGCTTGAAGGAGCCGCAACAGATGTACTAGAGCTTGTACTGGAGCTTGTAGTAGAAGTTGTAGAGCGGCTGCTGACGGAAGAGACCGTAGAAAACGTTGTCCATGTTGACGAAGTACTCGAGCTTGAGGTGGATGTGCTGGAGGAAGTTGTCGATGTAGTCGCTGTGCTGGTGCTTGACGTTGTTGAGGTGGTGGATTGGGAGGTAGTGCTTGAGCTACTGGAGGTCGAAGCGCTGGTCAAACTGCTACTCGTCGTTGAGGTTGGTGTCTTTGTGGTACTTCCTGACGTAGAGGTAGGAACACTGCTCGCACCACCGGCGACATTACCAGCGACGGAACTAGAGCTAGTCGAGGTAGAAGAAGAAGACGAAACAGAGCTTGTGGTAGTACTGCTCGTGGTGGTGCTGCTCTTTGTGGTGCTGCTGGATGTAGAGCTCGTACTTACGGAGCTAGATGTGCTTGAAGTGGAAGTGGAAGTTGAACTAGAGGTGGACAGCGATGACGAAGTGGATGAAGACATGACACTGATGCCGGAGGTAGATGTACTAGAAGTACTCGACAAAGTGCTGGACGTCGAAGTTGAAGTCGAGGTTGACGAGATACTCGAAGACGTTGAAGTTGACGAAGATGTACTACTGCTCGAGGAAGAGGTCGACAATGAAGTTGGCAAGGAAGCACTGTAGGCCGAATTAAGCTGATACACGTTAAGACGGTTGGGACCACCACAATACTCGCTCGAGTTGCCTAGAAACATCAGTAAATCTGTCTACGACTTGGAAGAGGGGTACAGACCATTGCAAAGCATACCGCATTCCGCGATGGGTGCAGGTACTGAACCACCCGTGAAGGTATTACCGCAGTAGCACTATCCCTTGTTAGCATCGTCACCAAGCTTGTTCACTAGGAGATTCTTACCTCTCCACCATACTCTACTCCAGCATAGACAAAGTTTCCACTGCTACAGGCATCAACACACTCTGCCACGGTAGGTGAGTCCACACCTCGTCCATTGGGAAGAGCTCTACCGGACGTCGCCTCGGTGTAGCATCCGATACTGGTATATCCGTCAACACCAGGATTCACAGAGGGTCCCTGGGGCGTGCTTGAACCACTACTACCACCACTGCCGCCGCCGCCAGATGAGCCGCCGGATGAGCCACCAGACAAGCTTCCATCCCACTGAAGTGTGTCGGCAAAGAGACTGATGTAGACACCGCTCCCGTCAATACCATTGCCACCACAGTACTGGTTGAGGCTCCCCGCGCAGTCAAAGTTGCAGTTGGCATCGTCGACCTTTTGGTTGGGAATTTTGTTTCCAGCCCAACACTCGCTGCGGTATTGCGTGCCACAAAAGGTCATACCTTCCCCACCACAGGTGTTGATACACATCTCATTTGTGTTGGAGCTGTTGGCGTAGAGAAGGTTGGATAGCTGACGACCTGGGTTGTTCTCTTTGAAGCAACCGACATACTGGTATTGGCCTTGGCCGCTGGGTAGAAGAGGAGCAGCTTGTTCGGCGACGGCGTTGCAGAAGAATCGAACGGCGCGCTTCTCAAAACTCCAGGTTGGATCGTTGGTGTTGATGGTCCATTGCGCGGTGCCGTTGTAAGATGGGACGTTCCACTGGCTCTTCGGGACATTGCAAGTAAGTGTCGCAGTCTGACTTTGACCAGGTGCAATGAGGGTACCCTCGGCGAGATCAATCTGGTTGGCTGACCGGACGATACCAGGGACACCAAAGGGAGGCTTCGAGACTGTGAGGCCGAGTTTGACACCACCAACAGAAGCAGTATTGCTGATGCGGAAGCGCAATGACTTGGAAGTGTTCTCTGTAACGTTGCCAAAGGTGAAGGGAGTGTTGGGATCATACTTGACCCATCCGGTTCCATCTGGTGTTTGGAATTCGAGTAAAGCTGTGGGAGGATCACCTGCTGCTGCTGACAATGAGACTGTCGCATTACCGCCAGTGGTGACGAACTTGACCCAAGCAGTGAAGTTTCCGGACATGGCGGTATTGGCGAGAACGGTAATAGCACTGTCGCCGCCTCCGCTCACAGAGTTCGGAATACCTGAGAGTGTGAATTGGCCGACCGTGAGATTGCCTGTCCCTGTCCACGTAGTAAATGGACCAGAGGAGGAAGTGTTTGTATACAAAACCGCAGTAACTGTCAGGCTCTGAGTACCGTCGTTTCCGATCAGGATACTTTGTGTGGTGGCTTGTGAACCGCTGACAAGGCCAGTGAAAACAACAGACTTGGGGCTGACATCCAGCAAAGCATTAGAGCTTGAGCCAATACCTGTGAGCCGGACCTTGGTAGACTTGCTGTACGACGTATCTGAGACACTTGAAGTCACGATGTTGACAATTCCACCCAAGCGACCAACACTCTGGGGAGAAAACTGTGCCGAGAATTGAAGCTGGTCGCCCGCGGACATGGACAGAGGTAAATTGGGTGTCTTGGTGATGTTGTAGTTTGTCGCGTCGGCAAGACTGATGTTGGTAACAGACAGATCAAACAGCGCGGTACAATTAATGGTTTGAGGTGTCGTAGCGTTCTGAAAGTTCGAGGTTCCAAAGTCAACTGAAGCAGTGCAATTTAGAGGGTACTTGTTGGTCGAGCCGAGACCATAGAAGTAGCCGACCGTGGTACCAATGTAGGCCATGCCATCTCCAAACACAGGCCTACTGAACTTTGTGATGCCGACGATTGTAAAGTTTCTGATGACGTTGAGATATCCGTTCTGAGGGACGGCGTCGTAGATCTTGAAGTTGGTGTTTTGAACATCCGAGACCCAGAGAAGACCTGTGCCTTCTTGTCCGTTAAGCGACGTGGTTGTTCCGTGGCTTACACCGAGGATGTACGCGTTGTTGGTGGGACTGTCGGCAACTTTGGTAAAGTAGGGAACACCGTTGAGACAAGAGAATTTGAAGACGTGGGTAGGGTATTGGATCACTAGGCTTGTTAGCATGAGTTGGCGGGGAGGGGAGGATTGAGGGTACCGTTGATGTAGATGTATCCGCCTTCGAGAGGATACACGCCAGCACCTGCGTAAACAGAATTCTCATTCTGAAAGGTCTGAATGACTCGATCTTTGTTGTTGGGCCCGTTGCGATAACCGCCAAGATCATCGAGATTGAGCCAGTACGTCTTTCCAGACTTTCCAGTGACGATACCCATTCTCTTGATGTTGCCACAAGAGAATTGACTCGGGAGGAGCTCGAGTGGACTTGTTCCGAGATCTTTGTCCGCGCCATCCAGTTCCTGTTTCTCAAACGGCATAAAAAAGTCGACTACTGAGAGTGTGCCGTCGGAGTTGATGGACATGTGAACAGCGGCTTGTTCCATTGCGGTAGGTGGGCTGAACCCATTGACGGGAATGGTCGACAACTGCGAAGCGTATCCGTTTCCAGTAGCAAAGTACATGGAACCCGCGTTATCAGATGCAAGTCCACCTCCGGATTGCCAGATACCAGCTCCGGAGATGTTGCTGCTGACGCCCATACCCTCTGAAGCCCAGTGCTCGACAATTTTGCCACTGGTCTTGTCCCAGCCCATGATCCAGCCGGTAAAGTTGTATTGCACGCAATGCGACGCGAAGCCAGCGTAGACAAACTGTCCGGTATGGAGAAGACCCGGTCGCTGGTGGTGAATGCCGCCTGTGAACATGCGCTCGGGATTGTTTCGCGCGATGGTTCCCTCGAGATCGACAGGGAAGTTCGGCTGCTCGGAAAGATCGTTCACATTGATAGCATGGATCTTGTATCGTCCTGCTGGTCTTCCCTGTGGTTTCGGGCCGTAGTTTTGGTCGACGTACGTCTTGGAAGTAATGTACCAGGTATCCGTGTCGGGGTCAATAACACCGGTTGCAGTGACACCGACGGTCGGGTTGACATCAACGCAGCCATCGAGATCAGCTGTAAGGAAGGGAATGCCGATGTTTCGCGAAGCAATAATAACTCCTGTTTTGGCATCGAGCTTGTAAATGTTGTTTTGCGTGGTTGCCAGGTAGACGAATTGTTTGGTGTCGTTTGAAGGAGTGTAAACGAGTGGTTGAGAAAAGATTTGCTCGGCGGCGTTGATGTAGCGACCAGGCAGCGCTGTTTTGAAGACAATGTCGAATTGAGGGCTACCTACAATGGCAGGGTCCATGTTATGGTTGCTTTTTACAGTCAGTACTGAGCTTGAATTAATTAATATCCTTCAATTTGTGCTCACGTTTGGTAACCTGTTCGCGAATTGTCACCTCCCCAGGTAATGGTATCTGTAGAAGCCAGACCAACCACTTGGCCAATCAGGGCCGAGAGAATGAGTGTGAGCATCTTCATTGTGACGAAGTGCATTTGAAAGCAAATGAATGAATGAATAAAATGAATGGTTAACACGTCAAGATCGCTCCCTAGGGATGCGTCGCAGCTGGAAGGACGAGTCTATTTACCCTCAAAGCCAACAACAGCCACCATGATCACCTCCAAGTCCAGATTGCCATCGCCCATCGTAAACTTTTCACCATCGTCTTGGCCATCGAAGCTCCTGCTTGTTGGGTCTGGAAGGGGACGCCGACGCGCCGTTAAGCTTTCGGGTACATCGGCCAGGAATGAGTTGATAGCATTCCAACGTGCCGGCTGTGCCTTGCAGACCCGAGCCATAGTTCTGGAAATACATGGGCCCTTGAAAACACTGTCGAATGTGGAGATATCGGTGAAAAAGAGGCTGTTGGTGATGCCATTTGCGTCGATGAGGTTGAGGCTAGTGGCAATAGAATGAGACAATGGCTTTGTTCCTGGCGATCAGGTGGAGAAGACCGCTAAGCCTCATCCGATCAAATGTTCCTGAAGGACCCTAGATCTTGCCGATATTTGAATTGTCTGGAATGTAAATATCTTTTAGTGCTTGGATGAGGCGGTCGTAAGGATACCTTTTTTCGCCAAAGAACATCTCAACTGCACCGCAAATAACACACTCTCGAGCTAGCTTCATGTTGTAACACTGGTTCTACTCGCTCTCTATCATGCCATATGCTACCTTTAACATATTAATGGCTGTTCTTTAATTAGAAATTCAGGCGCCAAGTTCTTATAGTCAAGTGGCATGATGCTGAAGGGCCAGATTAAGCTAGATTCAGACTGTGTCTAAGACGAAAGCCGCCACATCAACAAACTCAATCGTCGTAGAGCCTCAACGACCTTTCACTGCAATCTTAACCCACCCAAAGGCTCACCGATGTAGCCATGTCATATGCCACTTTTACCCATTAATAGCTGTTCTTCAAATCGTAATTCGGGCTTAAGGCTCCCACTGGCGAATGCCATGATGTTGGAGAACCAATCAACTGTACCTAAGTGATTCTCAAAGTAACTCTGGTACGAACTGTTTTTTAACAAGTTCATGTAGAGGCCGACATCTGCCGGAGAACCCCAAGCCTGAATCTCATCTTTTTCGCAGGTATCCAGCGTCTTTCATTTAATCTTGTTTCGTAGCCAATAGTTTAGAACACCTGTAGAGGCCGTAAACGTTTGGATGTATCCGACGAATAACTCAAGCTATATCATCACCTCGAGTTGAATGAAGATTCGTAGTCATAAGAAGTCACATCATCCATGTATAACCTAATTGACACATCAATCCCTTCCTATTTGTGAGGAGGCGTGACGCTGTCATACCATGCATATTCACTGTCATTTTAACCACACACGAGTCCGTCTCAACTTGAAGTAACGGGACTTGGTTGATGGGACTTGGCGATTGTTGCATTGCTGCACTGCAAATTTAATCTCCTGTCAGACGTCAAGGTATATTTCAATAATTCGTTTCGACAATGCACGTTTGACTACCCGGTCTCAGGATCAATATGTTCGGATTGACTACAAAGCACACCCTTTGTCCATACCTACATGATGGTATTGGATTCGTTGAGGACAATATTGACTTTGAAAAGTTTGAAAGCTGTGTTTACATCTGGTGTGTATACTACCTTGGTAACATTAGAGTGGCGGCGTCGTGCATAAAATTTTTTGGAACAATTTGATTTTGGTTCCTGAAGTTGGGGAGGGAATGCTGACGTTAGGTAGAGCCTCATCATTTCTAACAAGGCAGCGGGTGGACTGTTTTTTTCTTTTTCACTGCAACTCTAACTATACGCGAGACCTTGAGATATCCGAAGTCAATAGAAGTGAATGGTGGTTTGCCCGGTAAGGCGACTGCACAAAGAATTACACTGCAATTTTAACCTCACACGAGACCGTTTGATCTTCGCTACCCGGCATGGCCCACTAAATAACCACGCATTGGTTCGCAGGTTCACTGCAATTTTAATCTCACGTGTGATTCTGCCTTACGCAACATGCCAAAGCCAGTGTTAAACCCCTAAGTTTCGAAAGATTGTGGTGCTTACATCGTAGCAACGCTGGCATCACAGAGCCTCTACTGATAAGGCTAATTTTTCACTGCAATTCTAACCCCTTTCCAATTCTGGTTCCGCTTGTCATATCTAACCCATACGCTCCGAACTGGATGAACTCTCACTACAATTTTAGACCAGCCCAACCACCCAAGATGCTAGCTTACTAACTACACTCAGAACAAACGACTCACTTCTAATACAGACTCTAACATTTGCGCTTCCCTGGGATTGCTTCATTGATTCTTTAACCTCTTGGGAGGTACATAAACTGCGTCAACCGTGAAATGTCCCATACTTCTTCTGTTATCAAGATAGCGAACTAGTGGACGACACATCCATCAACACATTCTAGTAGGCAAGTTCTAGAATAAGGTGTTTGTCGAGGTTTGTCTTGGTATTTATAACCTGGCGTGATTTGTTCGGTGTCAGTAACATGAATCTGCCTCGTGAGGGGTCTTACCAACAAGATGCTTGGCATCGTAAAAACAATATTCCAACCTCGCTCATTCGACATTCGATCAATCCAAATGCCGTGATTTCCGTTCATAATAAGGATTGAGAATGCCAAGACTCTGCTTATGGTATCATGGTACTTGAAAAGATTTGTTTGTCGGTAGCATCAGACAATTCCTGCTCCTCCAACTCCCATCGAGAGAAACTTGGAATCTTCACCTGACAAAGATAATGGACAAAATTGAACATGTACGAAATCAGGCCCATTATGGGCCTGGTGTTCTTGAAGAGAACAAAACTCACAAAGCTGAGCATTTGAAACAACCAACCCGGTCGGATCTCGAACAAGACTCCGCCAAAGTCGATCTTGAAGATCAATCCCAACGCTTGCCATTCTTTCGCCTCCTTCTAGCTTACCTCTGTCTTTGTCTCTGCTACTTAATATCGTACCTAGACATGAATTCAGTTGCAACGTCTCTACCTACCATATCTGAAGCTCTTGACACAGGTCCGACAGTTACATGGGTTGGAACATCTTACCTGCTAGGCCAACTCTCATTTCAACCTCTATACGGCAGAATCTCGGACATCACTGGACGAAAACCCGTGCTACTATTCTCAATAGGCTGCATAGTTGTCGGTGGTGTCCTATGCGGTTTCGCTCGCACGCCAGTCTGGTTGTACGTATGTCGTACCATCAGCGGTATCGGTGGCGGCGGCATAAGTTCATCAGTGGCTATCATCGTGAGTGATTTGGTCAGTCTGAGATCGAGGGGCAAGTACCAAGGTTTTATCAGTCTCGCTATCGGCACTGGGGCTGCTTCTGGTCCGTTTATCGCCGCAGGACTAATTCAGATGACTAATGATGGATGGAGATGGGTATTTTGGGTCCCTGCTATCATGGGCGCTATTTGCTTTGTTCTGCTTGTACTTCTCCTCCCACTGAAACCAGTCTCGGGGACCTTGAAAGAAAAGGTTCAAAAGATTGACTGGTGGGGTGTCCTGGCTTCCATCGCTGGCATTGTTCTAACCGTGGTAAGTTTGCTCGATAATAGTGGAAGATTGCAGTATTCTAACTCGATGTGTAGATGTCCATCAATTCCGGAGGAAGCATGTGGGCATGGGAAAACGTCAAGACTATCTCCATGCTAGCAATCGGCATCGTCATGCTTCTTGTATTCATCGCCATAGAAGCCTTCTTTGCAAAGATTCCTATCATTCCTCTTCGACTATTCAGGCAGAGGTCTCCATCAGTACTCATCCTGACAGGTTTCCTTCACGATTTTGCTTGGCAGTCAACTCAGTACTTTGTCCCGCTGTACTACCAGACTGTTTGTGGGTTTTCACCGCTGAAGAGTGCCACATTGATCGTGCCATTCTTGCTTGCTCAGGGAATAGCCGGTGCTGCTTCCGGGCCTCTGATGGCCAAATACGCTAGGTAAGTAATTTTCTAGTCTGAGAAGACAGATGGTTTACTGATGCTTGCTTAGGTACATGCCTATCCTCCGAGCTGGGTTCACAGTCTGGACTCTTGGGTCTGGTCTCAAACTTCTCTTTAACCAAGACACGCATATTTCAGTCTATGTTGTGGTACTGGCCGTCGAAGGGGCAGGAATAGGATGGGTTCACCAGCCAGGTGAGTAAGGCCTTGATGTCCAACCACACTACGCTGCTAGCTCTTTGAAGACATTAACTGACACTGACTTAGGTCTAGTGGCTCTCCAGGCCAACTCGGCAGACGAAGATCGTGCTGTAGCGACTGGAACTCGCAACGTCTTCCGGTCATTGGGCGGTGTTGTCGGAATAGCAGTCTCTACAGCTGTACACTACGCCGTGTTAGACAAAGCTCTACAGACGAACAACACCATTCCGGACTGGCTTCGCGACAGTGTTCTGGATGGTACATGGTCAGTCCAGGATGCAAGTACTGAACAATACGTGGGTGCCATCTTAGACGCAAGAATGCAGGGGTTCAGGGTCATTTTTATAATCACTGTGCCTTTGATGGCTTTGTGTTTGGGTGCTAGTTTCTTGGTTGACGATATCATTCTTAAAGGAGATGTTGACCAGAATGATGGACATGATAACCACGTTGCAGCCCCGACTACGGAAGTGGCGACGGATGTCAAAACAGGTTGATAGCAATCACGGGGATATTGAGGTTTTATGTGAGAAAAAGAGCTCTTCGTTCGATTCCAACGATCCGATATGCGGTGTATTGTCCTGAAGTACGAAACTACAAGAAGTAATGGAGAGACAAGCTAACATAGATGCCCCCAATCTGGTTTCTTGATCACAGGGTCCTTGGAGCCATCTAGATCAAGATAAGGACAATCTTTCGGCTTAGCATAAAACGTTCCACCATACTCTTTGATCTTTTGCCAGCGCTCCTCCATTGTAAAAGCGTTATCAATCCTGCCTAGTCCGCGAACGCTTGCGTTAAATTTTGTAGCCTGCAGAGCCCACACACCTCCATCGACAGGCCAGCCAACATATACCTTCGGTTTCTCTATGCCATACGGTCCCTCTGGAATATCATCACAGATACTGCGATAGTATTTGGCGCGCAACTGACGTAGTCTAGCGCACCAAGCCTCTTCCTCTTCGACGTTCTCTGATCTATTCGTGGGATTGTAGCGATCGAGACCGAGGTAATCGAGTTCTGCTAGCGAGCATTTGAGGCTGTAATAACCGCCTTTCGCCGGCCATCCATTTGCTATGGCGCCATGAGTGTCAACGAAGTGGGATTGAGGGAAATCAATTCTTCCAAAGTCGTTTATATCTGCGTCAGGACAGTAGCCATCATAGGCATCTTCTACCACGTCTATTCTTCACTCTCGCTCTGGCTCTATGTCATGTCAATGCATTAAAACATTCAACCAACTGCATAACGTACGCGATAAGCGAGCGGGACAGATAAGCGAGCGGGACAAAAATCTCAACCTTCTTAAGATAAATTATAATAAAAATACAACAGACTATCTGATCAATTAAAATCAATTACTATACTCATCTCCAGATGCCTCCGGAACTACGTGACAGGTCCTTGCATTATGCCCGGGCTTGCCGCATACACCACATCGCCGAATACCCGGCCTAACCGACCTTCCTCGACCACCACTTCTCGATGATTCGGCCAATACCTGCGTACTTACATCTATCTGATCAATTGAATTATGACCTTCCTGTATAGTTAAGCTCCCTTTATTCTGTAGGCGTGTCCTTTTTGCCCTGCGCCGTCGGCTAAGTATACTATTTGCCTCACGTAGCTCTCGGCACTCAGCCTCTAGCAAGGCAGTCTTCTGCATATTCCTTGTGACTGCCTTTGTAAGAGACTGAAGAGCTTCAAGGATTGACTCTGGGGAGCTACTATGATGTCTTCTGATTCGATCGCTAAGGTATTTAGACTGTGATCCGGCCTCGAGGACTGTATTTGGGGTCTTTGAAGTCCAAGCTTAAGCTTGTTAGGCCACCTCTTCAACAGGCGTTAGAGTCCGTAGCTGCACATCAAGCTTTGAGATAACAACTTCGGGGTCAAAAGGAGCAAGGCCAGCTCCTCTAAAGCTCCCCTTGATATTTGACTCGGTCATAGTTAATTAAAAGGCGGCGTAAAAGGCCTGGAAGAACTCGGTCTTGGAAACGTGGGTTATAGACCTTCTGATCAGATGCTCTATTTCTCGACCATATGCCTTTTTCAGCGGCCCGAAGCACCCGACGTCAAGTGGCTGAAGCAGGTGCGACGAATGAGGAGGCATGCAGAGGGTGATAATGTTGTTAACCTCACAATATAGCTGGAATTCGACGGATTAATGACTTTCGTGACCATCGAGGATTAGAAGACGATAGGGACTAACTGATCGGTTACTTGTGCATCGATTAAAGTGCTTTAGCCAGTCGAGACCCGTCTCGTTATCTGTCTAGCCATTTGCGGTCATAGCGATAGCCTAAGTGCCCGGGAGGTTGCTGTCTTGGTACCAGTTGGCAAGGTGATATTGGCCTGCAACCACTATGTATGGATTGATCGCTCGGCCTTCTGCATGGATCGCTTGAATCATAGTAACCTATTCACGGTTTCCAGGCTGGACTGACTTTGGGTTTCCACGCCTTTCCGAGCTGGTGATGACTATACCGCTTAATATGACGCCCATTATAAAGCCAGTCTCGTCAAAGTTCCAGATATTATCTGATCTGATACCATACTTTGCGATTGTATTCTCTACTAGCCTGAACCAGTTGCGAATAGTGGTTGGATCTTTGCATTAAGCTCTCCGATAGTTATATTTACGAAAAGAATGCGTCTTGAGCTGTGGTTGCCGTTTAATAAAATTGATAGCCCAGCGCTTGCCAACTGGTGATGCGTCGCGTTCAGTAAGCAGTCGATTCGCCATTTCTTCAACGTCGCGATGCCGAGAGGGAAATCCTCGCGAATCTAGATTCAGAATATACTCGACTATAATCTGTTCCTCCTGATCAGATAGTTTCCGACCATTAGGAATACAATCGACGCGAGCCTGACGACCCTGAGATCGGTAGTGGAGGGTCTGGAAGGGGACATTATAGAGAAATGCAGCTCGTCGCAGACTTAGTTTTGGGTCTCCCTGATAGGCCTGAAGTGCAAGAATAATATGAGCCTCAATAGTAGATTGTGACATGTTATTTGGTTGAGAATTAATTGATCTGATAGTATTAATGTAAGGTGAGGGATTTTTGTCCCGCTCGCTTGTCTGTCCCGCTCGCTTATCGCATACGTTATCCTTCCTATATTTAGCGTTTTATGAACATAGGCTGCCTACTTAATCTATAACTCATG